CATCTGGACACGCATACAGAAAGAGAAATCTCAGATTTTTCTCAATACTGCACCCTTCCAAAGAGAAGTCCCTTTACTCGACATAAGAAAGTCAAGTCCATTATTTTCTAAAGGCCACAGAAGCAAAATATACAGACTGAGAACAAGAATTGTAAAATTAAACATCTTCAGAAGAGACAGAGGAGGCTACAACTTTCTCTTGCTGGTGTCAGACGTTAGGTTTCCAGGAAAGTTTTTAACAGAAAATCACTATGAAAGACACCAAATCAGTTCTCTGTTTTAGGCAATTTCCCTGTCTTTGGAAAGCTCCTTCCACAGCTTCTGACTGTAGAACTCCAGAGGCTATGTCCCTTTGGACTTTATCCATATTTTCACATAAAGGTCAGAGTCTGTTCCTCCACGTCCCCCCACCCCTATTTTCTTCAAGGGATCCACCTCATAGACGAGGTCCTTAGGGAAATCTACCTAGCCCTCTTCCAACTTAGGTCAAAAAAATAAAGAAAAGAAATAAAACAACCCCCACCTCCAACCAGTAGCGGCTAGCCTGAAAAGCAGCCTTAGCTCTGAGAGCAAGGAAATGCAGCAGGAAACAACTGAGTAAGATGCAAATAATTTTAAAGCAGTAATGAGGGAGGGGGTTGGAGAATGTGAACACAAGTCTCTGTTAAAGCTTATAGCAAAGGAAACTTCCACACACACACACACACAAAGGACCTGTTTTAAAAAATACTCCAAGAACAAGAAATAAAAGGGGGGGGGTGTACAGATAAAATGTCTTTTAATTACAACAGATAAATAATCAGTGCCAACTAGCTGACGATCAAACCATAGTCAAGCTTCAATCTCAGAGCAGTTAGCTATAAACTGTTAGCAGCTGAAAAGTAAACCTTGTGCACACAAAGGCACTGTTTAATTTTCTTCTTGTAATGGTTCTAAATGAAGACCCCATCACTACGCAGTTAAGCAGTATTTCTTGTCCCCCTCAGGCACTGATCAGTTCTTTTTAATGTGAGAAAACTGGCAGCTCAGAACTTGTCAATGGAGTTCCCACAACAAAAGTTCTGAAAAGCTGAATGAATTGGGTTTGTAATTACTGCTTCCTATCCTGTCCACACCCCCCTCCCCAGCTTATCTCTTATTCATTCAATTTATATTATTGTCAAGGAACCTTACTCTCAAAATCATTCCCTTACCAATTTACCTAGGGCCACAGAGAACTTATGACATGGCAGAAATGGAACACTTACCCCCCACTGCACCTTGCAGTGCTCAGACCAATAGCTGGGGAGGGGAGGAGGGACTTCATTGCACCCCAATTTACTCTGAGACTACTAGAAGTCAGAGCACTCAGCCTATGGAGTCTTCCATTTTAAAACCTGTATTTTACTGGCAAACAGGAATGTGTATACTGTCTAAATTCAGGGCCTATCTGAGTCTTGAAATCCTGTGACATCTTCAGTTAGAAAAGGCAAAAGTTATAAATAAATATCCTCTCCTTTCTCCTCAAATTGCAAATCCCTAAAAGACCTTGCCAGACATGATGTGGAAATTAAGATAAATTATTATGCTTTTTTTCTTTTAAAACAAAAACAGTCAATAAAATAGAAAAAGGAACTATAATCTCCCCACCTCCAGCCCAGGAAAAGGTTTTATGAAAAAGTCAGCTTTAGAATGTCAGGCCTCCTTGTGTATTTCAATCCAAGGTGTTGCTGATGGAGAAGATTCTCCTGAGATTTTCCTACTGTAAGAATGTGTCAGTTTCTAGAAATAAGTACAGCTATTACAACCAAATCTACTAGAAGTCTAAATAATTAATTGAAGCATTGCTCTTTGACCCTTGAAAAGTCCAGTAGGGACACGTTTATAGTAATAATACCTCCGAATGAGCCCTTGTCAAATATTCATTTAGTGGTTAATGTGAGCCATTTTCCCCTGGGACAGTCTGTAATACCAGCTTCCCAGCATTGGCAAGAAACCTTGCTAATCTACTACAGCTCAGCAAAATATTTTAACATTCTCTAAAGTGTGTGGGGAGGAGGCTACAACTTTCTCTTGCTGGTGTCAGACGTTAGGTTTCCAGGAAAGTTTTTAACAGAAAATCACTATGAAAGACACCAAATCAGTTCTCTGTTTTAGGCAATTTCCCTGTCTTTGGAAAGCTCCTTCCACAGCTTCTGACTGTAGAACTCCAGAGGCTATGTCCCTTTGGACTTTATCCATATTTTCACATAAAGGTCAGAGTCTGTTCCTCCACGTCCCCCCACCCCTATTTTCTTCAAGGGATCCACCTCATAGACGAGGTCCTTAGGGAAATCTAGAAAAAATTGCGGAGAACTAGACTATAATCTCATCCTTTTCCACATTTCTATTCTGTGTAGAAGGTTAGCAAAACATTTAAATTCACTGCCTTTGACTGGAAATTGAGTGGTTTCATTGAGCAGAATGATATCTCAAGGAAAGAACTAAACACTCAATAACTATCTTCAGCACCAGGAGATAAACATCTCTGGGCAAGTTTATGGGTTTACGCCCCTTCTTGAAAATTACATTATTATTAAAATTTTATATGTTTAATATTATTCTAGCCATGAAATTATATATCTTGGAAATCGTTTAACCCAATCAATTAAATGATGCAATGATATAGGTATCATTTTCCTCAGATGCAGTTTATGAAAAGCATTTATATTTGCAAACATTTTGGCTTCCATTTTTCAACTATTTGGTTTAGAGACATGGAGGGATAGAAGGGGGAACGGAAGTTCTCTTGTTCTATGCAGACAGTGACAATCATTCAAAATTAGTTCAACATCCCAAGAAATTGTGCTCTTTCCTCTTGTAAAATATTTGAACCTGAGCATTTTGCCAAAAGTTGCTTTTTAGTCTCTAATCCTGTAGGCTTTTTAAAAAAATGGGAGGTTAGTACAGTGCAATTACTCCGATCCTCGATACATGTTTCTAATATATCTCTACTTTTCAAACATATACATTCTATATAGTTGATTGGTTCAAACTCTGGGAATATTCTTCCCACTCCCCCAGCATGATCATTTGGATCTTTATTCAAAGTTTCTTTTATTCGTATGTGTGAGCAAGAACTGGCGAATGTGCTCATTACCACGTGAATAATCCGTATATGCATTACAATGGCTGGCCAGGCCAGGGGAAATTCTTTTAGAGTCTCTGCATTAATTAGGGGGAAAAATGCCTCACTTAGAATTGGTAACTGGAATAATAATTGTCCCTTCCAGTACAACATTACACTAAATACGTAGGTAAGAAAAGTAATAAATAAAAACCAATATACACCCCAAAATAAAGCAATCCAGAAGAAGTTAAAGATACAGAAAATGTGAGCTATTTGAGCTCATATAGAGAAAATATGAGTTATACGGAAAATATAAGCTATCAGCCCAGAACCAACATTAGCAACAGCACAAGAAATAAATACTTTCTCGGAAACGAGAAGATGCAAACCAACGGGGCGAGCTAACTTAGTGGCTGCAGCAGGTACTTTACTCAAAGGTCGAAAGCGCTGCCGGATTCCAACTTCTCCAAAGTTGTAGTAAGTTGATACGACAAGCTCTTGAAATTGTGGGAAGCCACACCGCGCTCTTAAGAATGCCCCGCTCTTGGCTCCTGGTCCCCTTGGGTGGGAGAAGATGAGCGAAGCAAGTAGTAAACAAGGCAGAAAAGTCCCTGACTAGGTCACAGATTCTCCGTCTTTACCAAAGCGCGGGGTCGGTTGTGATGCGCAATTCAAAGACCATGGCGATTCTCAAACTTTTCCGCTCTCACTGAGGACAACTACAAGCCTTTCTTTACCTTTCCTTAAGACGAAAGAAAACAATAAATCCAATCTTGTCTCCCCACCCCTTTCCCCTCCTCCCACTTCTCTATGACTGTAGTAAAACATTGTTAACAGATCAAAAGCATAATCATCTCCAAATGTGATTAGACCGGACAAAGTAAAATATCTACCTCAGAGTTGATTTTCTTCTTTAATATGGCTGTTGCCTGGCTTCTCTTTTGGTTGTTATCAGCTGCAGAGATTATCCGATTTGGAGCTACAGGCTTGGACCCGCGCTGCCAATTTAAGAAATGGAATTCGGGGAGGGGGGGAGAGAGAGGAAAAAAAGAAAATAAATCATGAAAAAAAAAAAAAAAAAAAAAAAAACCAACCCCACACACTATATCCGGGAAAAGGGGGGGAATTTTGGCTTGGACCCGCGCTGCCAATTTAAGAAATGGAATTCGGGGAGGGGGGGAGAGAGAGGAAAAAAAGAAAATAAATCATGAAAAAAAAAAAAAAAAAAAAAAAACCCAACCCCACACACTATATCCGTGACAAGGTGGGGAATTTTGCAAGACGTTCTTTGCTTCCCCTTGCCCCTAAACAGGAAAATGTAGGAGAAAGTTTATGAAGTCAAGGAACAAAGAAAGCAAACCACTTGTTTCCTCTCAGACAATAGCAGGGCCGGAGTAATCCAAATACCCACCCAGCAGATAACACTTTGCCTGTCTACTTTGCAATTTTTTTCCCATACAAGAAGCATCATTTTCCTCTATAACCAGGTTTCAAAGGGCCATTATGCTGTGAAGAAAATGAAAACAAAACCAGCCGACCTGGTTCTGATTTGGCTTACACACCCCATCTGCTATACTATATGAAAAATTTCAGAATTTACTCCTTTCTGGCAACAAGTGGCATAAATCAGTTTAAGTCCCCATCATGCTTATCCACGCTGCTTAAAAAAGGAGGGGGTGGATTTACAGTATATGTCTCCAGTTTGTTTTATAAATGACATAAGCATTTCAATTTTTCCAGAGTACTTATTAATCATCCAGCCATTTCTATTTTGCAGTTAACATTATTAGCACGTGCTGAACTAGTTCACCAAGGCTTTTGGTATGTTGCTTTCTTGGCTGAGCACAGTATAATTTCCGGAGAAGTTATGTATAATCAGTGTTATCCAAATAAATGAAAGACTCAAGCATAATTTCATTGTCCATATTTCAAAAATTTATTTATCTCAAACTGTGCATAATGGAGTAAAAACTTAAGTTGAAAATGTACCTGTTATAAGGATGGTATTAGTTCAAATATATACATGAATTCTCGGCAGACTGATTCAAATAATACAGAGCCGAATCTTTTAAAATACAGCTACGGAAAATAAAGAGGGGAAACCTTAAAATATCACAATAAATTTACAGAAATATTACAAACCATAAGAAAATATTTCAAACACAGTAATCTTATGTTGTTTTTTATCTGAACAAAATGGAAAGTTGGTATTGAACAAAAGCTATTATAAATTACCAGCGATGTCAACCTGCGTGGCCATTTTTGCTTTTAACAGTAAGTTAAAAAATTTAGTACAATCTAAAACTTTTGCCCTTTTAAACAAGACCGCATTTTTTTTTGCCAGTACTTATTCTATTTTTTCCTTTTGTACAATTTTTAAACAATTAAAATGCCCAAATCTGAATAATTTTCTTTCCACGTTACCAACTGTCCTAAATTTTAGCTGCAGAATCAAAATCCAACAAGAAGCCTCTCCTTGAAAAATATTGGCAAAATTCTCAGCTTATAAACAATGGACATTTTGATTGCCATGTTTATCTCGATAAATACTGTACAAAAGTTGCTTGCAAATATTAAAACATTTTTTTCGTCGCTTGGAGACTAGCTCTAAATATTACTGGTAAAGACTTTTGCAAACTTCCTGCAAAGCTCCTACCGTACCACTAGAACTTTTAAAAAGTTTTGCGTAGTTTTCTTTCCTCCAGATCTATACAAGGTCCATTCCCCCGCCCTCCCCACCCCCCTGGGTTTTCTCTGTACAAAAATAGTCCCCCAAAAAGAAGTCCAGGATCTCTCATAAAAGTTTTCTTGTCGGCATCGCGGTTTTTGCGTAAGTGTGGGTGGGACTGGTGTTCTTTCTCTTTTGCAGCTGTCATTTGCTGTGGGCGATGGCATTTTTTTTTTCTTTTTTTTTTCCCTTTATAAGCGTACCGGATTTTTCTCCATGCTGTTTCTTACTCTCCTTTATCGGACCCCTCCCATTTTCCTCGTTTTTCTTTGAAAATTTCTCCTCCCTCCAGTTCGCTGTCCGGCCCTCACATGTGCGAGAGGGGCAGTGTGCCGTTAATGGCCGTGCCGGGCACCGGGCCGCTCTGGTAGTGCTGAGACATGTGAAGTCTGCTGGGGGCGGCAGGCTCCGGCACCTCGGCGCCGGGGAGGTACATGCTGATCATGTCCCGGAGGTCCCCGGCCTGGCAGGGCGCCCTGGAGTGGGAGGAAGAGGTAACCACAGGGGGGCTGGAACTGGCCTCGGACTTGACCACCGAACCCATGGAGCCAAGCGCCATGCCAGGGGTGCCTTGCTGCGAGTAGGACATGCTGTAGGTGGGCGAGCCGTTCATGTAGGTCTGCGAGCTGGTCATGGAGTTATACTGCAGGGCGCTGACATCGTAGCGGTGCATGGGCTGCATCTGCGCGGCGCCGTGCGCGTTGAGGCCCGGGTGCTGCGGATAGCCCAGCTGGTCCTGCATCATGCTGTAGCTGCCGTTGCTCCAGCCGTTCATGTGCGCGTAGCTGTCCATGCGCTGGTTCACGCCCGCACCCAGGCCGGCGCCCACCCCGACCCCGCTCGCCATGCTGTTGCCGCCAGGGGCCAGCAGCCCGCCGGGCAGCGTGTACTTATCCTTCTTCATGAGCGTCTTGGTTTTCCGCCGGGGCCGGTATTTATAATCCGGGTGCTCTTTCATGTGCAGCGCTCGCAGCCGCTTGGCCTCGTCGATGAACGGCCGCTTCTCCGTCTCAGACAAAAGTTTCCACTCGGCGCCCAGGCGCTTGCTGATCTCCGAGTTGTGCATCTTGGGGTTCTCCTGGGCCATCTTGCGCCGCTGCCCGCGGGACCACACCATGAAGGCGTTCATGGGCCTCTTGACGCGGTCCGGGCTGTTCTTCTGGTTGCCGCCCGCCGCCGCCGCGGTGGAGTTGCCACCGCCGCCGCCGCCGCCGCCGCCCCCCGA